TACCAAGTTAGTTCAAATGAATGACCTTGACCCAACTTTCACGGTCACTGGGGTCTGATGTCTTAAAATCTTCAAACAACTTCTTCACAATAACCAAAAGGCCCAGGGTACTGATATTGGGCCTGTAGCATGCTGGGATGAAGGGCTACCAAGTTTGTTAAAATGAATGACCTTGACCCACTTTCAAGGTCACTGGGGTCAGATGTCTTAAAATCTTCAAACAACTTCTTCTCAATAACCAAAAGGCCCAGGGTACTGATATTGGGCCTGCAGCATGCTGGGATGAAGGGCTACCAAGTTTGTTAAAAAGTTGACCTTGACCAGCTTTCAAGGTCACAGGGGTCAAATGTTTTAAAATCTTCAAACAACTTCTTCTCAATAACGAAAAGGCCCAGGGTACTGAAATTAGGCCTGTAGCATGCTGGGATGAAGGACTACCAAGTTTAATCAAATGAATGACCTTGATCCACTTTCAACCTGATGTCCTTGTTTGACATTCAAGGTCACAGGCGTCATATGTTTAAATCTTTTAATAGGTTCTTATTTATGAATCAAACACTGATATTCTGCCTGAAGCTGTATTTTAGTCCACTTTTAAGATTACAAGTGTGAGATTAATACAAGGTGAGCGATGCAGGCCCATTGGGCCTCTTGTATAGGGAAATAACACTTTTGGGTATATTTTGTCAATTTTCAGCAGAAATTTATTCTTACTCGGTGAGAATCATCCTTGGCGGAAGATAGTATCAAATTGTAAAATTGAAATTCCTACGCCAACCCTAGGGGCCAGGGCGGGGCCCCAAAGGGAAAATTAACCAATATTTCAAAAAAAAAATCTCCAGACTCAGAGGTACTACAGTCATTTTCTCTGCATGGAGAGAGAGATCATCAAGGGCTTTACTTAAATTGTAAATTTCAGGACCCCCGAGCTATCCGTTTTCCCTTGGGGAGGGGGTAAAGTTTTCTATAGTTTATATAGGGAATTCACACTTTTGTGTATATTTTGACAACTTTCTGTAGGAAATTATTTTTACTTGGTGAGAATTATCCGTGGAGGAAGATGGTTTCAAATTGTAAAATTGGGATTCCTACCCCAACCCCTGGGGCCAGGGTTTACTGTAGTTTATATAGGGAAATAACACTTTCGGGTATATTTTATCCATTTTCAACAGAAAATTACTCAAACTTAGTCAGAATCATCTTTGGTGAATGAGAGTATTACTTTGTAAAATTGGGATTCCTGCCCCATCCCCAGGGGCTAGGGCGGGGCCCCAAAGGGAACATTTACCAATATTTTCAAATTCTTATCCTTTGATGACCTGACAAGTATTGTAGTTCACTTTGTTTACATGTTGATTTCCACATCACATCTCAATAATGAAATTGAACTACCAGTACCTAAAATATCTCAATAATGAAATTGAGCTACCAGTACCTAAAATATCTCAATAATGAAATTGAGCTACCAGTACCTAAAATATCTCAATAATGAAATTGAGCTACCAGTACCTAAAATATCTCAATAATGAAATTGAGCTACCAGTACCTAAAATATCTCAATAATGAAATTGAGCTACCAGTACCTAAAATATCTCAATAATGAAATTGAGCTACCAGTACCTAAAATATCTCAATAATGAAATTGAGCTACCAGTACCTAAAATATCAATTAGGTGACTGCTAAGGCCCTTGGGCCTCTTGTTCTTATAGCTAAAACATTGTTTAAATTTATGCTTTCATCTCTGTTAATAAAGGTGCCTCTCCGTGCTGCCTCCCTCAATTCCAATGACGTGTTTGTAATTGTCACGAAAACTAATGTCTTCATCTGGATGGGAAAGGTAAGAACATCCCGCTCCTGTCTGATGTAAGTCCCTCCTTGTTAACTATCTATGTGGGTGGGTGTGGGTGCCCCCCCCCCCCCCCCCAAAAAAAATGGAGGGGGGGAGGGGGGGGGGCGCAACACACAAGTTGCATGTTGGCATGTGTGTTGGCCCTCTTTACC